GCAGTGGAGACGAACAGGGAGTCAGCGGGTTCAAGGGACGAACTCGGCTCCGACCATTGATGGAAAGTTTTTGGAGACGGAGACAAGCGGCCTCCCCTCCGCTCCCCCGTGGGGCCCCTAATGCTAACGTGATCCCCCCCATTTGTGCTTCTATCATAAAGAATGCGCCTGCCGAACCACTTTCCCACCACTAAGAGGATTACTAAGGTAATGCTCCTGAAGAGATGCTCTGGCACATCTAGATATTGCCAAGCTCAATTTAATAACTTTCAGTGGAATGACATTTTACCCTCTGGGCCACTCTGGGCACCTTACCTGGACCTTTGGCTTCCAGCCCGTTAGCTGGTCATCAAAGCTGCTTTTGAATCAAACGAGAAGAAAGAGCTCTAAACGGGCAGGGAGGGGCCTACCTTGGAATGTTTGGAATTCAGTTGTGCTCTTTGTCTCTATTGTTATCCTGCAGAGCAAACGGACAGCCATGTAGCTCCTGTGATGCACATCACGAATACGCACCCTTCTATTTGGCCCTCTAAGTACAGCAAGAAACAAAAGGCCATTCACATACTAAAGATTTGTGAAGACTGTGGCCAAGCACTTCACGGTTGCTCAGCTGTGAGACGGACATTGTGCTCTTTGTTTAATTGTGGTGCAGAAGTTGGAGGTTTATTGGGTCATTTCAAATACTAACCAGCGTATTTATACGTTTTGGAAACGAGAAAATGACGGAAATTTGTTCACAATGAAGAAACCAACTGGCATGAGAATCCGTCTAGAAAATAAACTCCAATCGGTCCATTGAATACAAACTGGCTGGAAGTCGGTCCGAACTGTGCAGAGAAGCCGGTGATGGTTGTTAGACCGTGTTAGTTTTCCCACTGTGTTATGAGGCCGTGTTTATCTAAGGCGTGTTTACGTAGTGCCCCTGATCCTGTTGCAAGCCTCATGTCCGATCAGGATCAACCATGCCTCTGCGTGTGTGCGTGTGTGCGTGTGCGTGTGCGTGTGTGTGTGTGAGCGACGGAACTCACTTCCTATTTGGCGACTTGTTTGCTTTTCGGTCTGATGACCACCAGCGTCCTTTGTGCCATCGTCACATACTCGATGCTGGTTGAAAAAAGGATACACACACACATCTACTCAACCATTTTTCCCAAATACCAAATTGTTCCAAATGAACGTCCTTGTGAAAGAGAACTCCATTGTCTCCATCTCTGTGTCCTCTCTCTCTGGTGTAAAGTGTAAATAAGCCAGTCACCCCTAACACACTTGACCCCCACTGATCCTACACCTGTACTTTTTATTCACGCCAGTGGAGAAAAACCCAACAACCTTTATTTTCCTAATAAAAAAAGGCCGAGCATGAGGTCTGAGAAAATCGGAGAAAAAGAAAGTTGTCCGTCTACATTGTAATAAAGATCCTCCTCAGAGGTTGACTGTTCCGAGAACGCTCACAGTGGGGACGGGGTGAGTGAGGTTGAGAAGCAGGAAAACCCTCACTCTTAAGCCAGGGAAAATGAAAAGGTAATAAGTAGGCAGGGAAGAGAGGCGCAGGTGGGAGGCAGTGGTGTTAGCAATCTGGTCTGGACACACTGGGGGGGGGACTTGGTTGGAGACTGGGACAGTTAAATATGATGAACTTAGAGGTATTTGTTGGCAAAGGATTTACATGAGAACATGGACAGCTGCCAAAGAGGTGATGAGCTTTGGTGTTGGGATGTTTGGATAAAGTCACTGCACATTTATTGAGAAAATATGTATTTATATAAACCATACAGCATGACATCCGCTATAGAAAAAGTGGCTTTTTAAATGATGTTATCCTTAATGCTGGTCTCAGCCGTTGGATGCTTTATTATGTTCAACAGGTTCAAAACCTGAGCAGCCTAGATACCCTAGCCTGGCATTCTCTGCCCGCCTTCGATGACCTTCGAAGGCCTTGGGGGGATTCTTCATTGGATGAAGTACACCTGCAGTCCACAAAAACAAGAAACGCACCTTTATAGGTGAACTGCTGGATGAAAAAAGGGAGCATTGTGTTCAGAATCAGAAGCCATTTATTGCCACATATGTTGCACATAGAGGAATTTGACTTGGTGCGTCAGTGCAATATGAGAATAAAATAAGATGAAGCAATGTAAGATAAAAACATACAAGCAAGAATAACAAGTACGTTAAAACACGTATGTATGTTCATATGTTTCCATGGTGAGAAACCGCTGTGCAAACGTGGACGCGGGAAAAAACAGTTTCTGTAGCGGAAGGTCTTGGTCCTGATGGACCGCAACCTCCTGCCTGTGGACGGGGTGAGAGAGAGAAAGTTATGTTGTACAGCATCTTCATACAGATGTGAAGAGGAAGATGAGAGGGAAATGAAAATGGTTATGACATAGAGAAAACCAAAACAAGCAGGAAGCTGTGGTTGAACCTGTTTAGAGAGGAACTGGACTGTTTCTGTAGCCGTATGTCAATTGTAGGACCACATTGGAGCAAACATCTCTGTCTGTCCACAACTTCCACTTGTCCAACAGCGCCCGCTTAAAACTTCGCGGTGTATTTTTTCTTTAGTCGGATAAGAATATTGATAACAAAGCACAAGCACTGCAAAATGACAAAATCATTGTTTGATAGGAACTAAATAACCTGATATCCCACCCAAGCTAAATACATCTTTGTTCTCTGAGCATTGTTGCACTCAAAAATGAGGAATGATTGGCTATCATGTGTTTTTTCATCATGACACAGCTTTTTTTATAATTGATGTTGTTTCCTGGAGGTTTCACCTTTTGATACCAGCAGACTGGTATTTCCAGTCACACCTTTAGGGTGCAGATGAGTTTTTAATGTGCTCACCTGAACACAAAATGATATTTCCATGCATTTGAGTAAAAGCCTATTTCCATCACTCTGTTGCTCACATTCTTTGTGGTTACCCTTTCTATGAAAACACATGCATCTCAGAAGATCTGATCAAAACAAAACGGCCTTTACCGTCACTTCCTGCAAACAAATGTGTCACTTGCTTTTGTTTTCAGCCAAGCCCCAGCACACACGCACATTCATACGAGTGTTGTGAGCACCATTGTTGCAGTCTGGCAGGCAGAGGCAGCTCACTTTTGCCTGGGCGCAGGCTGCGTTACAGTGGGAGCCTTGTGTCTTAAACTTCTCAGAATGGGCTCCATGTACATGTGAGGCACCGTGTGGCGAAGTCTGCGCTACGTGTAGCTGCAGCATTTGAAGCAATAAGTAGCCGCCGAGCTATAGTAGTGGAAGTAGAAGTTGTGAAAGGCCCGAAGCTGTTTGCTGACCTGTGTGACTCAGCCCTCTTGTCTGTCTCCTGCCTGGTCATGCTCCCTTCGCCTGTGGATGTGTGTAACAGGGGACTGATGTTGCAACCAAGTCTCCTACAACACCCTCTCCCCCGCTCCAGTTCCTGATCCGTCTTAGATCTGCTGCGTCGAGCTAAAGCCCCAAACAAAGGCTTGCACACAGAGGGAGAACCCCGCGAAAAATAGACTCATGTGCGACCGAGGGCTGAGGAATGCACGTTGTATGTGTTTGTCTGTGTGCGACAGTGAGACTAAGAGGAACAGTGAGCGAGAGAATCAACAGATGTGCCTTTTCTCCCGTGGATATGTTGAATTTTGAATTATTAATTTCTCTACGCCGCCCGGCGGGTGGACTGCTGAGTACAGCTATTTTACTGAGGACCAATTTCGGACCTCCAGAGAGAGGACTTTTTTTTCAAATTGGGTCCTCACTTTGGAAGCTTTTAGGGTGCAGACTTGGTTTTAAGTTCAGGTTAGAAGTAAGTTTAGTTCAAGGTTAGGCATTTATCTGTGTTGTGCATGAAACATGAGCTTAAAAACATGTACCGCTTCTTTTTTTCCGTCATGTAGAAAACAAAATTGCATGATCAAACTGAATGGAATTACCTTTTATCAAATCCAAAAGTTTGTTTTATTTGATTTATATTTAGGGGACTAAGAACGTACTTACTAACTTGTGTGCCTTTCAAAGTTCTGCGTGCACAACTTGCACTTGCAACGTATTGCAATTGTTGCATGACATGATTCTCCGAAAAACAATAGGAAGCAGCCTTTCTGGTTTTAATTATGTTCTTCCGGAAAGAAATATTAAAACACGGAAACAGCTTTCTGCAATCACACAACTAGAGTTACTGTGTGTGAAAATGGAGGAGTACATGCAGCAGTACAACCGTAGAAAATTATAGTATTCACGTTGGTTGCGTCAGAGAGACGAGTTACCTTTATCAGACCTGTGGGATCAAAGGTCACCCTGCGGATTAATACACGCTAAAGTTCTCAGTCATCGCAGCATTAACAATAAAGTGGAAACCAGAGATGCAGAAGATTTTACACACACTTGACTGTGGACGACAGGCAGCGGTGTGAGCGGGGATCAGGACGCCCGCTGTCACATGACCGCGTTTGTGCGTAATCTCCTGAGGGGTGGGGAGGTCCGCTTTGAAGCTCCACTCCCAGCCTGATTGGGAGCGACACACATCCAGAACCCCTCAAGTCCACTTTGACCTTCAGAAGGTCCACAGAGGTGGTTCCCAGAACACACATAATTAAATATAATAAGAATAAGAATAAGAATAAATGCTGCTCGGTTAAAAAGGAATAGAAATGAAGGAGGAGCACTCGAGGGGAAGTATTCGCATGAGTTATCCTTGAATCATCATATACTGACATTTGATGCTATTATAATTATTATAATACAGATGTATTATTGGAACATTTCATGATACTATTGCAGTGTTCAAATGGCATAAAAAAGACAAAAACGACTGTGCAAATGTATTCTTTGCAAATGGATCGCTTTAGGTTTTTCCAGTTGCTCTGTTTGTATACAAAAGCACGTCACTGCTTAGTGTAAAAGAGTCTCCACCCCCTTTTCCATTTGGGCCACCCCCACAGACCCCCCCACCGCTCCCCCCTGTAGGTCTCGGCTGATGCAACGCTCCTCCCGTATAAAAGGGTGAGTCTCCATCCCTCCCCAAGCAGAACCGCTAATTGTCTCCGAGCTTGTCGCGTCTCTGGGAATCTTTACGTGTAATTAGACGTTTAACCGAAATCACTCGTCCTCGTTCGGTTCACTCTGAGTGTATCTTATTGTTCCTCCACTTGAGCGGTCTTCAGCCGGCCTCTTTTAATCGGATCCCGTCTGTAACACACAGGCCTCCCCATTCATTTAGCAATCGAGTCACACTCATCTGAGTCCACCGAAAGGAACACGTTGTCTCTCAGGAGTTTCATTTTCCTGAACGGATTTTACAGGCATCCTGTCACATCGTCCCCAGGTAAGAACACCGGCTCCTCCTCACAAAGCGGCCTAAATCACCGGAGGCGCATTGTTAGTCTGGAATAGTATTACGCGTTCGCCACTTTTGGGTTTGCTCTGTAACGTAAATGTCCACCTCGTTGTTGTTTTGTGTAATAAAATATCCGGATGAGAGTCGGTAATTCGTTCTTCTTTCTTTTTTGGAGAACTGGCGCGCTGTCTGGCTCCTCTTTTGGGCGGATTAGTCGGTGTTGGACCGATTTCCTGCCATACCTGCTGATTTGGTCTCTAAAGAGACAGACATGTCCTTTCTTGGAGACGTACTTGTACCTTCTTAGCGGGGACGTGGTCCAAATAAACGATATAAACACCGCACACAGTGTTGCTGCGCACTCCGGCTTTCGTGTCTTTAGTCTTGATTTGAGTGTGGAAAAGAGGAACACCGTACACACGCATCGTGTGTGTGTGTGTGTGTGTGTGTGTGTGTGTGTGTGTGTGTGTGTGTGTGTGTGTGTGTGTGTGTGTGTGTGTGTGTGTGTGTGTGCGTGTGTGTGTAATCTGTAAAGGCGACATACACCAGCCTCTGCGCAAAATGGAGAGCCGTGCCCTCACAAGAGGACAGCACTTGTCATTGTTTCCCATCAGAGCCGGCCATGGGCATAATGCCATTAAATACTTTTGGGGGGGGGGGGGGGGATTGCGCCTTTTGCGCCCGGTTTGGATCTACATGTGCGCACTATTCAGTTAAGAGACGAAATGTGAAGGTTTATTGAGAATGTCACATTTCTAACATCAACATGCTTTATGAATTATGAATGACTGTGAAGAGTGCGAGGCCGAGACCCTGTTTTCATTCCATCTCTCGAAACATTTTGGGGGGGAAACGTGTACAAGTTCAGGGGCGCGTCCCGCGTTTTTCTGTTGTTGCCAAGGTTTGGGAGGAGATGTTGGGGGATTTTTGATGCTTGTTTGTTATTTTTCCACGCGGGGTGGGTAACCCCCCCCCTTCTTCTTCTTCCCGCCCGCGGAACTCCCCCCCCCCCCCCCCCTCCTTCTAGTGGTCACATGACCGGATTGTAGCGGGCCTGCTCTACAGTGTGGAGCGCACACAGCTAGACACCACAAACAAAGGCTACAATGGTTAAATAAACCTAAATAAAACGTTTCCCTTCTGTGCTCAGCATGAAACAGTCCTCCTCCAGAACTGAGATGAGTCGCCTCAACATCTCCCCCGAAGATGACAGCAGCAGCGTCAACAGCACCGAGTACACGGACTGTCCCCAGAAGGTCCCTCTGGGCGGGTGAGACGGCCTTCAAAATGTGTCCCAAACATGCGCAGAATATGAGCCAAACTCAAAATTTTAGTTTGCACACACACTGCGCTGGTACGAATGTCTCTAACCGTCCTCTCCTTTCATTCTCCTTTCAAGCCAATGTTCTGACACAGAAGCAGAGAGTCAAAACTTCCTTCCTGAACACAACCTGGGCAAGAAGAAGTATGACACTGAATACGTAAGTGCGCCCCTGTTCCTCCGACACGTTGACCTTCCTCCATCACGCACATCCTCGTTTTCTAACCGCCAACCTTAAATGTCCCCCCCACAGCACCAGGGCAACGCGTCCTTTGGCATGTCTGTCTTCAACCTGGGCAACGCCATCATGGGCAGCGGCATCCTGGCTCTGTCCTACGCCATGGCCAACACTGGCATCGCCCTTTTTGTGTACGTTTTTTAGACACATATCTAAAGCTTGAAGGGGGGGGGGGTTGCTAGAGGGGAACAGCAAAGCGGACAGAGGTAGATGTCCATGTGACTACACAACGCTGTTCAAACTAAAGGAAGAAGGAAGACGCACCACTTTTAGTTTCAGGAAATGGATCCAGGTGTTGTTTTGTCTGTTGCGTCGAGGTCGAGGCTCATGATGTCCTGATCCCCTGAAAGCTTTCTTTGCCGCTGCCGTTGCGTCTTTATGTTTGTGTGTTCCCTGTGCGGCTTCAGCAGCAGATTAGACCGAGGTCGAAGGTTTAGGAATGCTCTCTGTCCAGTTGGCTGTAGAGAAATGCGCGTGGCTTATGCAGCTTACGGGAGGAATTTCCAGCCCTTATACATTAGTTTATATCTTGATTGCTTCATTTCCTCAACCACTCTTATTGGTCTGCATTTCTTTGGAGTGACCATCAGTTATGATGCTGTTTCTCCTGAAGTCCCGATTGAGGAATACTGTCTCAAGAGGCCCAGCTGTATTCCTACTTGGAGCACCTGGCTGCATTGACCCCCCCAAGTTTGACGGTCAGGGACTTGAACAAATGTTCTCATCGTGGGTTATTAGAGAATTCACCAACAGCCAGTTTACTAACACGGGGAGCCGCAGGGCAAGCGGCTTAGCCAAACTAATCCCGCTGCCTTTGGGCCCGAGTTATGTAAACGCAGAGCTAACACGGGGATCAGGGCGCGGTCGGCTGTCCGTAAGTAGCTGACCAATCAGAGCCCTGCATCTGTTTCGTCGCTCACAGACAGCTCCTCTGTTCGTTCTGCCTGCTGCTCTTCTCAGTCCGCGATGACAGTTTAAGTTAAGTAACCTTTTGCAGAACGAACCCACTTAAAATGTCCTCCAACGCATGTGTATTGTTGAGCTGCAGCGTGTGAAGAGATAACACGGGGCCTTTGTGATGCGAGAGGCAGCCAAACGACCCAGAGATTAATTGATTAATTCATTCTAAAGATCCTTCCCGTCTGCTTGCAGGATTCTCCTCGTGTCCGTCGCCATCTTCTCATTGTATTCTGTCCACTTGCTGCTGAAGACGGCCAGAAGGAGGTGAGACCCGCAGATGTCCAAACTCCTCCCGTGGGGTCTTAAAGGTCCTCTGCGAGTGCTAAATCGTCTCGCTTTGTGTATTCCTCCTCTTCTAAGGGGCGCTGGTGTACGAGCAGCTGGGTTACAAAGCCTTCGGGATGCCGGGAAAGCTCGCCGCTTCATGCTCCATCACCATGCAGAACATCGGAGGTGAGAGACGGTGGTGCTTTAGCAGCAGAGACAGCTTTCTTTTTTTTTAGAAGTGTAACTATAATTGAACAACTCGGCTGAATTTGTCCACCTGGTGTTTATTCCCCCAGTTACCACAATGTTCCACATTAGCGGAACAACAGACGGACAGCACGGGGGGGGGGGGTAAAGAAAACAGCAAGTTTAGCCCAGTGAAAACATGTCAGTCAACAAGCATCTATTGGAGCGGCTCAGCCCGCAGCCAAATATTAGATATCACTATTTTTGTAGTAGATGCTTTGGCTCATTTTACGGGGAAATATACTGACTGCCAT